GTCGGACGCTCAACCGACTGAGCCACCCAGGCGCCCCTAAATGGACTGTTTCTACATCTTCCCCCTTTCAACCCAGTGGCTTCCTTGAACTAAGGATGAGAACATGTGTCCAGAAAGTACCGTGGGTGTCCCGTCAAGCTCATTCAAATTCAGGGACTTTCCAGGGCATGGTTTCCTCCAAAATGACCAGACTTAAATAAGGATGATACTGTTGACAAAAAATGGCACATTCCAAAGAGAGGAATCCCTAGCACCACATTTTACCTGCCCAAGTGGGATCTTTTTAGAATTTTTTTTTTTTTTTTTTTAGAGAGAGAGAGAGAGCACATAAGCAGGGAAGAGGGGCAGAGTGGGGGAGAGGGAGAGAATCTTAAGCAGGCTCCATGCTCCGCACAGAGCCTGACACAGGGCTTGATCCCCTGACCCTGGGATCATGACCTGAACTGAAATCAAGTCAGACACTCAACCAACTGAGGCATCCAGGCTCCCCATAAGAGGGGTCTTTTTAAATATGTCATAAGGAAGTTCACTTGGCTGCCTTCCCTCGTTCCAGACCCCTCTTCCTTTCGCAGCAAGTGCATCCACTGGCCAAAGGAGCAGTCAGGAATAAACTCTTGTATCTTGCACAGGAAGCATGGCTGGTTCTCAGTTCAGTGCCCTATCGGGCAGCTCCCAGAAGCCAAGAGTCTCATGATGTCAAGAAAGTGCATAAAACGTGCTTGACCACAGCCTCATTCCTTTGTCTTCCCTGGAAATACCCTTGCCATCCACCCGGACCACCCTCCCTTTGACCATCCTCCAAGGCAACGTAAATTCCTGGCACATATGAGATGCCAGTTGATGACTGGCTGGGTGAACAGATGGACAAAGGGAGAAAGGCAGGCAGGCAGCGAGGTAATTGGCGCTTATGGAAGGGGATGGACGCACAGATAGGTAGCTGATGCCTTCCACAAACACCCCAGGTGGTAAAACTCTCGCCTTCCTCTTGAATAGCCCTCTTGCTCATTTTCTGAGCGTGCTCAGGCAGCTCATCTCCTTTTCCTTCCGTTAGAGAGACTTGCCATGTCTCCCGCGGAAGGAGATGGACTCCTCTCGGTCCCACACCGCTCCCTAACGAGGCAGAGCTGATGCTCAGCAGAGAACAGATCCTGACCGGCCAATGTGGGGGGAACACGGTGGTAACAGCCATTGGGACTAAAGGTTCCAGGCCAGGGGCCCTGAAGGGAGACACAGGTGTCTAACTCCTTTTCGGCTCGTGTGTTTTGGCTGCAGTGTCACGGCCACGGCTGCCAGCATCGGAGCCGCGGGGGTGCCGCAGGCCGGCCTGGTGACCATGGTGATCGTGCTGAGTGCCGTGGGCCTGCCCGCCGAGGACGTCACCCTCATCATTGCTGTCGACTGGCTCCTGTGAGTTGGAATAAATGCGCTGCTTCTGCCGGCTGGGGAGGCGGGCTTCCCCGCCCTGCAGAACCTGCAGTCTGTCATCATTCTGTCCTCAGATTGCCACTGCCTCATGAGCCATCCGTTGCTGCTTCAATTTCCCTCTGGCCAGGCCATCTGATAAAACGCGCTTAAAAATTAACTCCTCATAACTTGCGGCAGTGATTTTAAAAGGCCAGTGATCTCCATTAGCTTGTTTTACCTGGTAAAGCTGGAGGATGGGTGTCGGGGGTGGGAGGAGATCAACAGAATGATAAGGTGAAGACAGAATCCCAAGCATTCCAAACCCCATAGGCCACCCTCGCCTATCCCGGGCCCGGGGTCAGCGTCATAGGTGTAGAAGCGCCTGGTTTGAAGTCAGCCCGTCTTCCCGAGATCTTCAACATCATCAGGGGCCATGGTAGGAGCTGTGGGGGAAGACCAGCTGGAGTTTGAATCCCTGTTCAGTGTCTCAACAGCTTTTTGACCTCGAGGATGTCCCTTAGCTTCTCAGAGGCCCAGTTGCATTATCTGCGAGATGGGACAGATTCTGTGCATTTCATTAGGTTGTGCAGGGTCTGAGTGGGCTCATGTGACCAGCGTGTCTAGAACAGTGTCTGGTGGGCAGCATTTGCCCAATAAATGGCAGGTTTTATGATTAGAATGATTTGGAACATTTGCATCTTAACTCTCGCACACGTGTGTGCATGGACACATGCACAGAGGGCTGGCGAATACAGCAGAAATTCTGGGCAAGGTCGTGCCTTGTGTGACCTCCCCCCATGGTTCAGGTTGGAACGAGCCTGGTCCCCAGCTTTATCTTGGTACCCGCTTTGTGCATTGGTCTCGCTCTGTCCCCTGGCCCTCAGGGGTGAGTGTAGCTGCATATTGAGCCTTTACTCGGAACAAGCCCAGGGTTACCGGGGAGTCCGGCACTGTGTGGTTTGCAAACAGCAGCTGAGATGGTGAAGACAGTCACACCCCGGAAGTCCCGGGCTCCTGCCCCGGGGAAGGCGTGCCATGGGGGCCCCCTCAGCAGCTGGCTGTGTCCCCCAGCCCCAGCGGAGGTGGCCCCTTTCTTGCCAAGATACGCCACCCCTGAGGCAAGTACTTCTAGTTTTCCTTCTAGTGACCATGGTGGGTTTGTAGTTCTCTCCTTTGCTCGATTCTTCTGGAACCAGTGACCTTCACTTCCAAGACACCCAGAGAAGCCAAAGGTCCAGTCTGATCCATGGGATAAAAAGACTCTAGTTGGTTCGTACCAGGGTCTGGTTCATTCCATGGCCTCATTCTGAATCGCAGGAGGGCGCCCAGATGCGGAGGTCTGTCCCACAGGTGTAGTTCTCACAGAAGTATTCACGTGCACAGTTCCCACCAGCAGTGCTCCAGTGTTCTGTCACCAGGGCGCCTTCCTGCCACAGGGTCCTCTCCAAGCTCGGGGTTATGGCCAGCTGGGGGTGTCATAAGGAGAAAGCTGCTCCTCGGCTGACCTCTGTTTTCTGACCCTGTGTCCCTGCTGGCTTGCTTCTAGAGGGACCCGGTGGTGCAGAAAAACGACTACACCAGGGACACACAAACGCACAGGAACACTTGGAGGCGCACACACACACACACACACACACACACACACACTCCCCCTTTGGCAGAAACACCACCCCCGGGGCCTCTCACCTTAGCTGAGACAGATCCGGGAAATGCCCCAAGACGGAGGTTAGGAGTGAGAGGCTCACTCAATTCTGAGCCTCCCTCGGCTCCCCCAAAATATTTGTAAAGACTCTCTTCACGTTTCTTGGGGAGCAGAGGAGGGAATTTGGGGAAACTGGTGCTGGGCTTACGAGGGTCCGTTGTGACTTATTGGGAGCACACGCCCAGGGAACCTGGTTACTCATTCTGTACTTTCATGAGCCACCTTCTGCCCTGGACCTGTGAGGAGAGAAGCCTCCCATCCCGCCACGAGGTTGGCACTCTCTGCATCTGCTTAATTCGTACCTGAATGCTCCAGATCCCTTTCTGTCTCCGGTGGCAAATGGAAATGAAATCTGGGCCTCCTGTCTGACTCCCCCTCTCTCTTCCCCAGGGATCGGTTCAGGACCATGGTGAACGTCCTTGGCGATGCGTTCGGGACGGGCATTGTGGAGAAGCTCTCCAAGAAGGAACTGGAGCAAATGGATGTTTCATCTGAAGTCAACATCGTGAACCCCTTTGCCTTGGAATCCACAATACTGGATAACGAAAACTCAGACACCAAGAAGTCCTATGTCAACGGAGGCTTTGCGGTAGACAAGTCCGACAGCATCTCATTCACCCAGACCTCACAGTTCTAGAACCCCTGGCTTCATAGGACCAGGAACGATGAAGGACATCTCCCTGAGAGTCATCTCTTAGCAAATTCAAACATTCAATAAGGAGAAGAAACACACTGATGGCCAATTGTACATTTGATTTGATATATAGACCTCCAGATTATTTTCTATATTTGGATTCACCACTTTTGCTCTCCAGGTGGGGTACCATGAAAGAAAACAGATTAAAAGGAAAGCTGTATTGTCTGCAATGTAAAAATTCTATGAGAAAGTTTGGAAGTAGGTAGAGTAGTAACTATTGGATTAGGTAATGGGTGTGGAAGAAAACTTGCTTTCTCATACGCAGTCCAGTGTTTGGGTTTTTTTTTAAAAAGACTCCTTAATTACAAATTTTTACTCAAGCTTTCTATTGGCATGGATTTCCTTTGACTTCTCACATTTTTATAGATTATAATGCATATAAATACTACCACTGCTGCCCCCCCCCCATTTAATGTGCCAAATTGTCCGTTTTTAACTCATCTCCAGCCAATGTCAAAGAAACTATTTTGAAGGAAAACAGACCAGCACAGTTCTGCAATAACAGTTTCAAGACGGGTGAGGGGTGTTGCAGGAAGGGAGAAGGGTTCTTTTTTCAATGTACTGTATTGGAACACTGGTAACTAGTAACCCAGTGTTCAGTATAGAGCTAGATATATATATAGATATGTATATATTTATTATTTTCATATAAGTTGCCAGACAGAGATCAGAATTGAACTGTCAATGGGAAATAAAGAGCTCTCCTTGTACTAGAGTAATAACTACGATTTCAATCCAGATCTGCTTTGGGGCTTATCCCAACTCCTCTCTCAGGAGCACGAGAATGAAAAATTGTGTTGTCTGTTCCACGTCTGTGTACCAGCCTCATAGCAGACGTGTATTATGGTGATATGGTAAGGTGGCCGTTCATGTACAACTTCTAGACTCTACTGCTGGGAAGGAATCCATATCGGCTCTATATAAGATAGTATGAAGATGTGTCACTCACCTAAGGCTGGATGTGTTTTTATCCAACTGGAAGGCTTCATTCTTCCAAGGTCAGTTACACCCACTCAAAAAATGACGGTTCTTTGCCATTTCGTACCCATCAGGGCCCAAACAACAGTGGCAAACTACCAGCTAAATTGTACTTTAATATGGTTTTGGTGGATGGAACAAGTCACCCTGGCCGGAAAAGCACTGTCCTTACCCTGGATTCTTGCAGAGTAAGTCCACGAGTTGATCCCCACAACACGAGATGTTGGTATCTGTGGTTCAGGGAAATTCTTCCATTGTATCAAACTTGTCTCCTCCTGAAGGGACGATTGTCCTAACTGGTTAATCTAGTCACCTCGGCCCTGCTTAATTAAAATCCATGTCCGGTCATTCTTCTAATTTATGAAGGTAGCTTATTAAAAAGTCTATGCTTCAGCACTCATCTTGTAAATAAACGCTGAACAGAAAAACTTGTATTTACAATGAGATCCAGAATAATCCTGTTTCTGCAGTATTGAGTAGCCAGTTTAAGCCTGCGCTTTTCTATCGAAGAAACCAGAAACTGTCCCAAAGGTACAGGGAAAGTAAATAAATGCTCAGTGTTGACCACCTGTCCCTGAAATCTACAAGAGAGTGATACTGGATTGTCATGTAAACACCGCAAATATGGACCAGCGACTGATTCCACGTGCGTTTTAAATTGCAAATACCGGGGGTGTTCACTGGAGGTAAATCTAACTATCAACGCAACTGTATTCATAACTTATCTCAGGCCCGAGAGGTCCTACCCCCTTGGCCGTTTGTCTCCGACTGGAGGCACTCAAGTTGGCAGAGCTGTTCGTGAACTGTAGGTCATCCTAATTTTGGAGTGAGTTTGTAACCAGCCTCTTAACACACTGTGCTGTTAACTCATAAAAAGAAACCAATGTTCCATTTCAGTCTCAATAAATACTTCCGTCATTCTTTCTCCCCCCCGCCTTGTTCTTCCTTTAACTTTTATCTCACTCAGGTGGGGCGTGGGAAGGTGGAGACAGATTGTAAACGGATTATTGTTTTCAAAACTGTTCATGCTCGAGAATGAAAAAGCCGGGCTTGAGGAAAAGTAATCTGATTCTTCATGTGAATCAGTGGGGATAAGGCTGAAATGCAGTGCCATAAATTATAAATAGTTCATCCATATTTTATGGCTGAGATGGAGAAGGTGTGATTTGGCCAGAAATTACTATACTGGGAGGCAGTCTTATCTCAATATGACGGCGACCTGGTTTCACTGAAGGACCATTCCTGCCCTCAGAAATGGGACTATAGACTACAAATGTTGTATTCAGGGAGGTCCTGCCCAGAACCTGAGTCACGACAGGGTTCTGCTGGTGCCCTTGCTAGCAGTCTGTGATAGACAGCAAACAAATGGACAACCCCCTAGGCCCTACTGAGGGAGGGCAGTGTCTCACAGAAATGTTTGTCATTGCAAACATTAGTCTGTGGCCAGACTCATTCAGAGTAGTTTCCTCCTTGAGGCAACATTAGATAAAAACACCCAACACATCACTTAGAGATTTGCTTGGAAGATTAAGTGTACTTGAGCAGGACCCCCCCCCCCCCATGACTCGGTTCTTGCCCAAAGTCTACTCCTATACAGAGGGATGGTGTTAGCTCTAATAAACGACTATTTCTCAACAAACCATTGGACGAGGCCCTCTATTAAAAACACACCCCATTCTTAGAATAGCTTGAGAAAACTGTGTTTGGCTTATAATCAGGCAGTGGGCCGGCAATGGTGTTGGCTTTGCAGATGTTAAGAATCTTCCCTTCTGGAACGGAAAGAGGAAATGGTCATGCAGAGCCTTGACATGATGCCAAGCAGACACAATTTGCCAAGCAACTATTCTGTATTTTCTAACTGCCCAGCAAGCGATCACAGAGCCCAGTGAGACTGCTTTAAGCATTCGATGAGAAAATCGACGTAATGCACGTAGCACATGAAACGTTTCATAAAAGCTAGTGCCTCCTGCCAAAAAGTCCTATACACCCTCGTCCCCCACTTACATGGGTCACCCACAGACATCCAACTGACATGAGCGAAAATTATAGTTTTCACCACTTGGCCTTACCTGGGTTATTAGAACAAACAGTAAATCCAACCTAGTGAAACTTAATAAGCAACCCCCATTCTATAAAGGGAAAGCTCTTTCTGAAAATGGGACATTTTCACTTAAACAGTGTAAGACCTAGAATATTGCCTCTTTCCTAAAAGATCATGTGGCGGGAGGGGGGTGGCTCAGTCAAGCATCCCAACTCTTGATTTCTGCTCAGATCACGATCTCACTGTTGGTAGGTTCGAGACCCCTGTCTGGCTGTGCACTGACAGCATGGAACCTGCTTGGGATTCTCTCTTTCCCTCCCTCCCTCTCTGCGCCTCTCCCCTCAAAATAAGTAAACTTAATTTTTTTTATGTTTATTTATTTTTGAGAGACAGAGCATGAATGGGGGAGGGGTAGAGAGAAAGGGAGACACAGAATCTGAAGCAGGCTCCGGGCTCTGAGCTGTCAGCACAGAGCCTGACGTGGGGCTTGAACTCACGAACCGCAAGATCGTGACCTGAGCTGA